CAATATTAACGTATGTCCACACGACCACGATACACCAGTTCACAATTACCAAGCCAACTGAAAACAGCAATACCAATTGCACGTGCTAATTAATTAAATTCCCATATTCTATAGGACTATTATGTATCGCTACATTACACTTAAAGAAAGCTTAAATAATGCGACATATATAATTCACAATAAATTCCATGCTTCTATTCATCGCTTTAACGCCATATAAATAATTGTGTCTACACGACACTCCAAAATATGCAAAGTACGACTTACGGTTGATATGCCGTCACTCCCCCTGTTCCATTCAGCACAGGACAGAACCACAGAAACCAACAACTCGCCCTGTCTGTACACAGGTATAAACGTAACGCTGGTTGACTATAGTCTGGTTCTGCAGCATGAGCAAGGTGACGAAGAGCCTGAAATGCCCTTACAAACTGCTGCTAGGCAGAGCTGAATACGGTGCTCATACTTCGACGGCTCGTGGTGTACTGACTTGCCACGTCCACCACACAACTCACATGAATTTACATAACAAAGCCACCTGCAAGATGCATGCAACCTTACATTCCCATTCATACGCAAATATCCACATCATACGCTATACAAAGCAAATGCAACACTTGGCTTGGTTAAGCTCGACCAAGGGTCGGGCCAATTTTATTTATAAATTTAGCTCGCATTTACATAGCAGAAAACTAGGCTGATTTTCCTACAACAACGTGCATATTAGTGCAATTACCTCTTACTTTTTAAAACATTTGTGTAGTGGCAAACCTAGACTTAGAGCCACTTTTTTTTCTGATTAGCCAAGCCATTCTACTAACAGTCGATGAGGGATTGCAATGAGATTATATATGCACCATATATGGTGTGCCGGGTGCATTACGCTCGTTTCCCTGGTCTGACATTGTCCATACATAAATCATAATAGGGTCTGTGGTATATTCACCGCAAACTGGTATATATATATATATATATATATATATATATATATAAATATATGATCCAATTGGTTGTTATTAAATGTAATAATTTGTATTCAAGTCTATTTACAACATATTTCATATTATTTGCTTTTGCTTTCAAAGGAATTGTCGAGAAAATAATATATATATATGTGTGTGTGTGTGTTTAATTTGTTTAAAAGATTCCTCTCATTAGTAAATAGCGCCCTCACTCAACAATATTTAGAATTAGTGGTTGGTCAAAAATTTGATGAGTCAGGTGCATCTATTGGCTAAGCTTGTTGTACATAGATGCAAATGAGTATAGGAACCATTAATGCTTTAGCGTGTACTGGGAGGGGTGGAGGATTTCATG